GTGAGATTAAAGCTCCAACAACAACAAAGGGATTCATTTCGTAGAGTCACCACTTTATTGCACATAATTACATTCTCGCATACAGTACACCACAACTTCACAGCGCAGCCAGACTATTTACAGGCAGAGGCTTCGCTGCAGTTCCTCCTCCTCCTCTTCCTCCCTTTTTTTTTTTGAAATCCTCCTTCCTTTCACTCCTGCTCTTTGTCCTTTCCGTGGGTGATCACACAACACAAGTTCTCGTAGTCAAGGTTACCGGCAGCATCCGCTGGAGAGTTTGCAAAACATCTGATTTACCTGTAAGCAAACAGGTGAAGGGTTTCGTGCATTTTTTTCTTTTTCTTTTTTAAATCTGGGAGAAGAGCTGTCAGGTTTGCAGACGGGGATCGTGCACACTATTACAAACACGGGGCTGACTTTTGCCATTCAATTAGCTCATCAGAACGGCGAGATAAGTGCGGTTGTGTATCATTGTCATCCTCCACTCTGGCCTCTTTATGCATCCTTTTGATCTGTGCTATGCCTGCCTGTTTCTGTCTCTCTCCTCATGTACCCTCTTTCCCTCCTCCTCCTCCTTCTCCTCCTCCTCCTCCTCCTCTGTCTGTCTCTCTCCTCTTGTTTTTCCTGTCTACTGAACAGAGACGTGTTGATATGAGGCCCGCTTTGCACGGCCACAAGGGAACAAGTCTCTGGTGCTTTTGATCAGCTGCAAGATCAGACATGTCCACCGCTCCCCTGTGTACACTCCAGTGACTGATCATGCAGTATAGTGCAGGCACAGACAGCCAAAGATGCACACCCACACATGTTCTCTCTGTTAATCATACAAGCATGGGCACACACACACACACTCACATACACAACACCGAGGCCCGTGGTTCATGTGTTGCCTCTGCTCACAGTGGGGTGGCTTGTTTGCTGGACACAAGGGAACGAGAGCGAGATGGTGTGTGTGATTTCCCCTTTCTTGCCCTTTTTTTTTTCCTTCTTCTCGCTTTTGACAGTAAGATGGATGATTGCAATCACAGGAGCCATCAGTGAGACAGAGTGGAGGTCTATGGGGCAGCTAGACACAGCCATGGGAAACCAGCCGTCAGATTAATGCACCACGCTGCCATGGGAACACTGCGCTGTTTATTTGTCTAGAGGTTTTGTTGTTTCATATGCATTTTCTCCTCTCTCCTTTTTTTTTTTTTTCTCTCCCCCCTCTGTGAGGCCTTTTGATGTACAGCACATGAAAGCTTCCTCATAAAATATGTGCAGGCTGTGTGAGAGGGGACGGAGAAGGAGTGCGTTTATGTCTCACAACATAGTAAGCCTACTGTAAGTCAGTGTGTCTTCTCAAACCGGTACAAATGTGACAGATTTCATAGTGATTATACTGGTCTCTTTGATCCCTTGAGAGAATGAGAGGCAGACTCTTTCTCTCCCCAGTCAACGGATGTTTTTAAGAGAAACATCTGTTGCTGTACAAATGAGATTACTGTGTCTCTAGCCAGGGGCCATGTAGGTTATGAATGGCACTGTTACTGAAGAGGAGGTCTGGAAGGGAGCTGAGAAGGATCTTTGTAATAAGCTGTAGCTGGTAGTTAAGGGGTTTAAATCAAATCAAATTGCCTCCGATTCTGGGTATTCATCAACGCTTACTTTCAACTTGTTCAACGGTATCATGACCGCTGGTACCTTTGAATCACTATCTCATATTGATACATCCAATATTTCACCTTGTTGCCAAGCAACGACTCACCTCATCCTCTGTAAACTTGTCAGTCTGTGACATGAGGTGATATTTCATCCTGCAGGGGAGCAACAGGAGCGAGGAATTACTGTTTCCATCTCTTTGACTTTGAATTAACTGGAATCTGTATTTCACTTGACCAAGGTTTGCATTATCTGCATGTTGAAACTTTGGTCAAAATTTATGTTTTTGCACAGCGTTACTCTAATTCATAGTTATCTGTGTGATGAATACGGTGCGAGAGGAATCGCAACCCACAGAGTCTCCGCAGTGCAAGAAAATCTCACACTCACTCCTCCCTCCCGAGGACTCCTGTTCCTTCTGGGTCAAAGACCTTGAAGGCATTCAGAATTGTGTTCTCGAAGGTCAGCTCCTGACAAAACACAGGTAGAGCTGCAAGAAAGAACTGTTCATTTACACAGACACAGATACACCCTGCTGCTCTGACTCAGTTTCAGATGATATTTTGTGTGCCTCTAATTCTGAAATGTAATATGCTGCCAGTAAAAAAAAACAAAACAAAGACAATGCTGCACATACCAGAATTATAGCTGAGTGTATTTTGTGACATGCCTCTTTTATGCAGCAACTGCTTTAATGGAACAAAAGAAAAAAATCTCTCGGGAGACAATAAAAGCAACCTAGGCCTTGAAGTTCAAACTTAAAGGCTTGACTGAATAAATTATCAGTTTAAATATTAATTTTAGATTAGTGTTTGCAGTTAAAGCCTAATTATAGTTTCACAGAGAAGAAAAAATGCTACTATCTCTGATTATTGTTCATTTTCATGCACGTGTCTAAATCTAAATGCAACTGAACGAAAACCAGTAAATAAAACTACAAATATATATACTGAAACTTATAAAATGTGACTGTACGAGCTTCAGAACCTCGCTGCCGAATAGAATATAACAGATAATGTGATTTTTAGAAGCATAAAAGTGACATTTACAGCTATATAAATGAAAAAAATTACCTATACAGCAGTAAAGGTGTCCCTCAGGTGGTTCTTACCAATGATACCGTCTGTTCTGGCCCATTTGTGAGAAAGCAAGCAGAGGACAAAGGTTACCAGAGGAGGCAGTGCAGCTCCACATACAGAGTGAGCCTGACATCAACACACACACACACACACACACACACACCAGCACAAACAGGTATTGTCTCCTAATATCTCTGAACTCCCGGATCTGGTTCTGCTCAAACATACCACCGACTCCCTGCTGTTCCCTCCCCTCGCTCCCTCTATTCTTCTCATTACTTTAAATTCTTTTGTTGTTGCTGGTAATATTGATTTTCCAATTAGCGTTATGGATTTTTATTTCTTACTTTGTCTGTATCTCTTTATATCTCTGCTTTCTCACATTCCTTTGTTTTATCTGTTTCGTTTACATGCAAAATCCAATAAAAAAAAAATAAATAAAAAAACCCAACTGAAATAAAACATATTGTTTTGGCCTATTGGGGAGCAATTTAATATAACAAACATGATTGGAGGTTCAATGCTGTCACCTTGAGTCAAACCAGCTGATGTGGAAACTTGCGTCAGAGATGGTCTGAGGGTGTCGTCAATAGATAATTATCTCTATTTTTGTCTTGTTTTATGTTTCCCTGCCTAATCACATACTACATGATATTCAGTGTTGATTAAACTCTAGATCTTTACTAGAAAATACATTAAATTTGAAAAAAACAGTAAGACTTGTTAAGCAGCAGAATGTGTTCAATGAGAGAGGGGAATAAGTATGTCAGATATCCTGCTCGGTCTGTTTCCATTGTGTGAATCTTCTGTCAAGTCTTCTCAGTAATCACATGAGCTCTTAAGGAACATGAAGAGGAGTGTCCTTCCTTTCTATGCACAGTCAAGTGTCTTGCACCTGTTCCGTCCAGACAATACAGGCCATATTGTTCAGTTAAAAGGTGTTTCGTGCCATTTGGAAGACACTTTGAATGAGAGCATGTCAAGAAAAGCTTCTGGGAGACAAAGGCAGGGCGTTTAACGGATCTGCGAGAGCACGGGAGGGTATGATTTTGCTCAGAGTAACTAGATATGCTTACATGAATGAGATTAAGACAGCCATGGCTGCTCTGGCCATCTGAAACCATCATCGCCGATAGACGTCAGTGGCTTCAACAGCTGCTGAGGCATCAGCTCATTATGGGGAGCAACATTATGCGCTGCAGGAGACGTCTCATTTAACAGTGTAAAGTGTTAATTCTGTGTCAGGGCATTAACATGGAGGTGTAAATTTAAATGATCCACATCCAACAGCTTCTGGACTCCTATCAAGTGACTCCTGAAGGACACGTGTTCTCCTCCATCACTCTCATTTTCATTTCTTCTACCCTAAGCTGAGATGATGTATAAAGGATTCTAGAAACATCGGCAAAATGAGTATAGCTGGATAAATGAAGCAGAGCTAATGAGACACTGGAGGACATATATATAAGTACAGCTGTCCTGCTCTAACAAGTTGCTCCGGAGACATGAACAGCAACAGAAATACAACGTTTGAGGCCTAACAGCACCTGAAGACCTGGAACAGTGTTGCAATAACAACAGTCAGTAACGTGCAAACACAAAGAATGGGGCCTGAAGTGATATTTCAGGGAAATGTGGCCCCTTATGACATGAGCACCACCCATGTACGGCATTAAGTTAAAAGCAAATCAAACCCAGAGATGGAATGATTAACATGATTTAGTGCCAAACCGCCTCAGATAAGAGACGCATGAACAGGCACGTATTTCCTCAAATCAAACACAGACACAACAAGCTACACACTCACACACTCCCTATTACATTCATTAGCTGGCATGTGGCTACATTTTTGTATTTTCCTGTTATCCCTGATTACATCTATTCAAAATATTGAGTCTCTTCCTTCCATCATCTACATCTCAACTCTGTCTAAAAGTCACTTCAGAGGTTGTATCAACTCCATTATTTGTCTTTTTGTTAAACTGCAGCATCACACATGTCATTTTGCATGATATTAAATCTAAAAATGAGGATTTTGACATATCTGACAACACTAAACGTTGGTTTGTAGAATCATCTCAAGGAAGATTTGTCACTGCAAAGTATTTTTGTGTTGTAAAGCAATCAGCTGAAACAAACTGTATTAAAACACAGCGACGAACAATAGTTTTGTAAGATGGGGTCTAAGGACAGCGTTTTCCTGTTGTATGTTGTACAGGCTGCAAAACTCATGGCTCTGCAAGTAAAACTAACTCTAAGTGACTTGGAAACACCAGATCATGGATTTGAAAGAAATATATTTGCATGGGTGTAAAAGACAACACATATAAAAACAGACTCACTCAGAGAAAGTCAATGTCCTTCATTTCATTTCAGTTATCACAGCATAATCAAAGGCACATAAATTAAATACAATCAAATGTCTTCCAAGTATAAATAGGTTTCATTTGTAAACTTTGAAAGCAGCAGATGGACAGAGAGGAGTGTGTCTTCTCTCTCAGACTTTCCTTCAGGTCAAACGGGTCACAGTAGAGTCTTCTCACGAGTGAAACCACAGAGCCAGGTCTTTAACCCCGTCAGTCCTGTCTCTGCTCTTCCTCACCGCCTTGCAGGCAGTACAGAAGTGTTCCCCCCAGAACACCGGCAGGTGCACGCTATAGCGCCCCCTCCAGTCCAGGTGCCGCCTCAGCCGGGCCGGGTTGTTCCTCAGCATCAGCAGGTAACGGGACAGCTCCTGCACTGTGGCGAAGTCGTCCACGTGGATAAAGGCTTCCGGGGGCAAGAAACGCTCGTAGCTCTTCCTGGGCGGTCCCAGGACCACCGGCACGGCACCGGCCAGCACTGCGTTCCACAGCTTCTCCGTGATGTAGTCAGTGTGCAGCGAGTTCTCCAGCGCCAGATAGAAAAAGTACCGTCGGAGCAGCTGCACCACGTTGTCGCAGCCCTTCGCAAGCGTCCGACCAGCGCTTCCAAACACATCGATGCGGATGAACTTCTGAAGCTCGTAGTAGAGGGACACGCGTGCTTGTGACTCCGACCAGTTGCTGACAACCCAGGCCACGAGGCGGGGCCGGCGGAAGTCTGAGTGGGAGGGTCCACGGAGTTGGTGCGTAAAACGGCTCTGGAGACCCGTGTCTGCGCGCTCACGGGGAACCAGGTAACCGTAGGGCAGAAAGATGTCCGAGTCTGTCCGGTAGCTCATAGTGAGGTTGAAAACTCCCTCTAAAAGCCACAGTCTGGGTGTGTGCGAGGGCGACTCGTAGTTCAGCCAGATCCACTTTTGCGCACGGGGCCGCGGCTCGGGTGGCAGATCGACCCTACGGGTGGCGATCTCCCGGTGGTGGATGATCACGGCGTCTGCATTGGGGTACTCACGCTCATCGTCCGTGAGCGTGCACCGGTCAATCTGAAAGAGCTCCCAGCAGTCCGGTAGTTCGCGATACTGACCGAACGGATGGTTCCAAATCAGGAGCGTCACCCTGTCCTCTTCAGGGGGAGAAGCAGACGGGTCCGGCAGGTAGATGAAGCAGACCCCCAGGAGGAACAGAAACCCGAAACTAGCCCCCCACAGAGAGGAGTAGCTCCGTCTGAGAACACGCTCCCAACATATCTGTCGGCGGGAGGAACCTGTGCGCCACTCTGCTCTGCGCGCTGTGACTGTGGGGCGGCCCGCGGCTCTCCAGTGAGCCCCAACACCCATCGATTCCCCCGAAAACCTCTTACAGTAACTCCACCTCACCTCACTCTTTTCTGGGACAGTAGGCTATGAAAGAAACCTGCCGGCATGCAGTGTTAACTGCTGACACACCCAAACTAAGCACTTTAGAAGTCATAGTTTCAGGTGAGATAAGGAGCGAGTGTGCAACAATTTACCGCCTCAATAAACTTCTTTCTCCTTGTTTAGCTCACCTGTCCTGCTGCGTGGGTAATTTTTCTCGCTGCCTTCATGGTCCAAATAAAAGGGGAAAAAAGCCCTATGCTGTATTTCTCAAACATTTTTGACGTGGCAGCGTCGGTATGGGTTCCAGTTACCGCTGAATGGGGCTTTTGTGCGGCCTGTTGACAGTTAGAGGGCCTCCAGGGACCTTTTAGGTTTGGGTAAACACCTTGACGCAGGGCGGTGTCCTGCTGATGAAATAAGCAAATGTTTTTCAAGAACAAGCTATATTTTCTTATTCAGTTTCTAAGAGTTTGTTATTAGGTCAAACCAGGTGGGTGGATAGAATTGGAAACACTGGAGCCAATAGTTCTATGACTTGAACTACCGTTTACTGATTATCAGAGGATGCCACAGATTATACTAACAACTGACTGAATAAACTTCATCAATAACCACTTAGAGGCCCCTCAAACCTGCTGGTGTCACCCTGTCAGAGACTAGACGTGTGTGTCACCACTAGGTGTCTCCCCACACAAGCACAAATCCTCCCTGTGCAAGTGTCCTGTGCAGCTTCTTCACTGTACTGACGTTGGGATTTTTTTTCTCTCCAAACATGCAAGTTTAATTTGGCAAATGAATAAACATTTCAGCTGGAAATTAGGCATACAGCAGGGAGGCTTTGAAAAGGTTTGTCTTCCATGTTTTATTAATCAGATATGACCCAGCACTGCAACACCCTCCAACCAGGAAGGTTTTTCTTTTTAAAAAATGACTGGGGTTTTATTTTTTGGCCTAAACAAATACAGGCTGATTAATTTCATTTATTTGAAAAAAACAAAACACAGAGTTTTCTCTCTGTGTGAAAGGATCAGCTGTCCAGGTTGTTGTCATCATACGAATGCATTCTGATCAACACTCATGAAAAAGTGATGAGGCGGCCGGCGTTGGAAATCCTGCACTGTGTGTTGTGTCTGAGCCCTGGTGGGCAGGAAAAACACGCCGTGACTGGGACAACATTATTCCTCCCCACAGACTCAGAGTATGTCATGAAGTCTGAATGTGAGCGGAAAAAAAAAAAAAATGGCAGACAAGGAGGAGTGGGAGGAGATGAAGCAAGAAGCATGTGTGTCTCCACTGGGTCCTCCTCCTTCCTGTTACATCCATTCACTTTTCTTCACCGTGTGTGTTTGTGAGTGTGTGTGTGTGTGACTAGTTATCCCCATAAGAGGTTTTGTATTCTTTCTGCATTATTTATCCTCCCTTTCATCTGAACAGTTCTATTTTCGGCCGATCATTTAATGTCCTGCCCCGGGTTATCTTGTGTTGGGAAGAAACACGGCAATCTCATAAGTTATGTAGACATGCCGAGGCTCAACATTATAAACACATGTATGTTTTTTTCCCTTAGAAACAGCAGAAGTTCTTGAGCTCAAGAATTCACACGTATAGGAAGGAGTTTGTTTTGTCTTCTATCAGTTCCGTTTTATTTATCTTAATGCTTTTATGCAGCACGAAGGCATGTAAATGTTGCTGGAAATGTACTATAATTAAACTGATTGGTGATACGGTGACATTTTGCACGACACAAATTACGGTCGGGATGATACACCAAGCTTGGCATTTATGCTTTGTGTCTTTTTTTTCCCCCTCGTCTCTCTCTTGCAAGAAAAATGTACCATTGTGCTCTTTCACTTGTTGTTGCAGACCTTGAATCTCCACGGAGGGACACATATTGCGTCTTTCTGAGTTAAAAACATCACTGCAGTAACTAAACACATGTATGCACGTATGGAGGACAAAAGGAGTTTTGTTAGGGCGTTGTGTATTGTCCTTGGAAGCTGTAAAAACTGCGTATTTTGCAGACTTTTTTGTTGCAGTAGTTCTGTACATTTTCCAGATGTGTGTTTACTGCTGCCCTCGTGGTCCGTAAAAGCAACACCGCTGTGTATCTGGATGTGTTTTTCTGGATGTGTGAATCATACCGGCACAGAGAGAAGCATTCAGTTTTTTTGATGGGACCTCCAGGTCTTCACTCATCTTCCCTATTGATTTTCTCTTGCTTTCCTTTTTGCGCTCCCGGGGGATGGGATGTCTCAATTGGTCCCGGCTGGTGAAAGAGAGTGTGAGCGATAAAGAAACAGATAGAAGATGAGGAGGGGAACAGGGGAACAGAAAAATTGAAGGGAGAGAAAATAGTGCAACAACGAAAAAAAAAATAAAAAAAAAGAGGAGGAAGTGGGCAGGAGGGGCATGCGATCGCCCCGATCACTGAGGCCCTCTCCGACCCCTGACCTTGATCATGACCTCGGAGGTTACCCCGGAGGTCAGAGGTTGTGTGAAAGTGCCACCGCGGCGATTCACTCCACTGCTGGGTGATGATGATCTTATGCAGCCTCCCCAGCCTGTCTGACATGATCAGTGTTGCACTCTGCCTGCGGCTCCCAAGGGCCACACATCCATCTCTAACTCCGGCCACACAAGGCCCACTAAAAGCACCTTACAGGCAGAGTCAATGAGCAGGAGAGAAAGGGACACAAACAGAGAAAAGTGGGAAAGCTAAAGGACAGAAAGGCGGTTTTATTTTATACCCTGTAGTTCTGTCGAGCCATCAGATCTAGTTGTGTAATGACACAAAGAGCCTGTTTCACCCTTTTTTCGAACTTTAACTGATGAGGTTTTTTTTAGAGGCTAAATTTCTGGGTCCAAACATATTCCTCCCTCGTCCTTGTCATGAACAATTTATGCTGTTTTTCCCCCCCTCCTCTTTAATTTTACCATGGAGTGTAATAAAAAGGCAAGTCAGGGAGAAAACCTCTTAAGTCATTCATGGCAAACACGCGTGAACTTCTGTAGCAGGAACATGATAATTTGTAGGCAGATTGATAACTCTGACTGTTACTTGTTCCGACTTACACTGTGTACCCCCGACAGCTTCAAAGTGATCCAGAGCCTAGTGAAGCTTCAGTCAAATCCTCGTGGAGATACTGTGTGTGTGTTGAAATGCAGAGGGTTTGAGGAGAGCGCCTGGCGCTACAAAAATCAACTGACTGGTAATGTTCCCTGCTTGCAGGCTTTTGGATCAAACTCTGCTAGAAGATATTTTTTTAATCAAATTAAATTACTCCTACACTGAATTCAATTTCGCATCAAAACAGCTTCGTGTGAAGTGGAAATATATCAAAATTACGCTGCACAGTTATGCTCAACCAAACCACCATTAGTTATGGTGGTCTCGCTAAAGAGAAGATGCTTTGTTAAGTGATTTAGATGAAACTGAAGTTTAATTCCCACTACACTGTTCATTATGTGATGATTTGCAGTCTATTTCTGATTGTTGCTGCTTTTTTTTTTTTTTTTAAGGATGATTATAAAAATATTTTAAAAACCTCAGATTAAAGACAAAACTCTGGGTGTGCAGTGTAAAGAAGAAAGTTATGGCAATGTCTGGTAAATGTGTCTGCAACAACTTTTCACCTTATCAGATTTAAACATTTAGCTTTCATCGTGTCCAAAGTAAAAACTCAACGATGTTAAATAGGTATGGTACATTTCTCAATACAAATATACATGTCAGAGTTGATTTCACGCGTTATCGTCAGTCAAAGAATATTGTTGAATCTGGTTTGCTCGCCACAGTAGTTTGACTTTAATGTCCAGCCCATGCAGGGACAATAACTAACTAAAGTGTTTCATGTTCTTTTTAGTGTTTTTTTTTTTTTTTCATTGTGCGATGGTAAGAGATAACTACACATATAATGGACACATTGCAAAGCGACTAAGCTTGAACGGATTAGCTCAGACCTGTATTTCTGGTTTGGCATAATGATAGGTAGCATCACAAGTCAGGGAGGCCCGGCCAAGGAAGCACCGATTAATATAGGGAAAGGAATGAGAGGATTAAACGCAGGATTCATCGGTTTATAGGTCTGTGGAGTATTTCGTCTATAAAGTAAATACATCTCACAGCAATCACTGTGAACGCAGATCAATTGCCAAAGACTGTAATGCGAATCATACTGCTATTATGTTGTAGTGATTTAATTACAGCAGAATGCTCCTATACAGTGAATCCTATGTGTATTTCAGCGTGTTTTATGAAAAACATATGACTGGGTGTGATGAGAAAACTGAGGGCAGCCTTTAATTCATTGTATTATGTCTAGAAATGAAGTATAAAATAAGGCAAAGCTATTTAGGCGACATATCAGTCGAGCACTGAGCACCATTCATACCGTAGGAGGATGGAGACACAAACAGCTTTAAATCAAATCAAGTAATGGCCTGAAATTTGAGCTAATTCAAAGCACAAAAATGCCCACCTTTGTATTCACACAAACGCAGTGAAAGAGGCGCTATTATCTATGGCAAATTCTGATGGTATTTTTAGTGGCTGCAATTAAAGTGCAACGGCTGTAAAGAAATGAAAATGATTGGAGGGAAGGAAAATAAAGCCGTAAAATATTTTTGTTAAAGGTTCAGAACGCTCAAGAAAAAAGAAGAAAAAAAAAAAAAAACCTTCAACGTGTGAGTGCAAGCGTGGATTTTCCACACGGCCTAGGCCCTCGCGACACACGCTCAACAAGTCGAGTCTGGGAAGCCACAAAGTGCTAAAAATGAAAACAATGTGCACAGCAGATGTGTCACCCTGATAAACCTGGTTCTGGTGTTGCAGAGCGGTCGGAGGCTTGGAGCTGAGGCGTGATGTGTTTTAAGGTGAACGAGGGGGTACAGTTTGACACAGGAATTCAGGGCAACACCGTGCATACAGTGTAATTAGAAATTCTTTGCGTATCCCTGCGAGGCACGTCCACACGCTGAGA